TCCACTTACAAGCTTGGAGTTTCCTCACTTCCTCAACAGTCACTGCTGGTTGACTTCAGTCTCCATGCCCTGGGGGTTAGGTTCGGAAGGATAAGAGGATTCATGGCCTCTGTGACAACTGGCAACCATAGGCTTGCCCCAAACAGTCTCTGCCCCTACACATGCAGGCGGGCATACACTGAACATGAATGTTCCTCAGAACAGTGGTGCTGTGATCTGAATGTGGAGAGCATATCTATCTATCTGTTGTGATCAGCCCATTTCCTGGTCCATTTGAGATGTATTGCCACTGAGGAATTCTGCAGGCCATGGCAACCTATTAGAATGGTCTGTCCAAGGCATCTGATGGATCCAGCAGGTTTCTGGAAGGCACTTGAGAAATTTCTCTGCGCCTGGTAGACACTTTCATTTATTGCCTGGTTGACTTCTGGCTTCGGGAAGTGACTCGGGCTCTTGACAAGATTGCACTCACTGCTCCTAAAGTGCCTTTTAGTTTTTTGCGGTGCTCTGAGAGAGACGAAGCAGCAAATGTGACACTTGGAGTGTTGGTGGAAAAAAACGGACTCAACCTGAGTATGGGTGGGAGCTCAAACTCAAGCCTACACCATGGCAATAAAAAAGTGCAGTTCTCTATTGGTGCATTGGTGGGCTGTTGACTAGCAGCTTTATTTAGGATGTCTAGTTCTCTCTTGGGGAGCAGGAATAGGAATACTTCCCTCCTGGCCACTGTGGCTGTTTCACCAAAAAGAGAGTCACTTGCAGGCCTCTACACTGAACAGGCAGGAGAAAGAGATGCAAGAATTTGAACATTGATTGGACTATATGTAGAATTTGCATTTAATTCTCAGCAATTGCTGGAATTCTTTTGTAATGGCTTCTTAGCTTTTCCACAGTAAGTCAGAGGTTCTCGTATCTTTGTGTGCTTATCTGTTCTAGTCCAGCTCACTGGGAAGAAGTCTGACAAGGATTCATTAGAGAGTGCTCTAGAAGAAGCAGATTATTTGAATGTATTTCAGTTAAAGTACAGTTTTCAGCATGGGACAGAGATGAAATTGGCCACTCCCGCTGATGATTTTGTTGAGATTTGGACAGAAGTAGTACATCCTTCCTGATATTTTAGACCTTTCTGTGGCCTTCAAGGCCATTGATTATGGGGATTGTAAGTATTGTTTTATAGTGGTACTGTTTCTTCCTTAGATCCAGTTGATTGTCATTGGGAGAACAGTTTGGCTCAGTGACCAGGATTTGGTCTTCTCCAGCCTGCTTTTTAGCATCTACATAAAGCTGCTGGGAAAGGTAATCCACTGGTCATGAGTGAGATATTAATATGCAGATGATACTCAATTGTATAGTATCACCCGGGGCCTGCCAGAGATGCCATTAATGTCTTGACCTGGTGTCTGGAGGTTTTGGGGACCTGCATAGAATAAAACAGGAGGTTAAAATTGAATCCAATAAGTTGCTGTTTGTTCATTGAGGTTCTCTGTCGGTTCCAGTGTTTTCTCGGGGTGGGGGGACACTATGCTTGAAGGAGGTGGTCTGTAACATCGGGTCCTCCCGGGCTCATGGCTGCTACTGGATGAGATGGCAGATAGGAGCTATGGTTAGGGCCTCTGTCTAGTTTCAGCTGGTGTGCCAGTTGCAGCCCTATCTAGAGTGGGACTATAATGGAGACTCATGCCCTCATTAGTACTTGTTTGGAATATTGCAGTGTGGTCTACATGGATTGCTTTTGATGACCACTCAGTAACTGCAGTTGGTTCAGAACACAGTGGTCCGTTTGCTATCTGGCATTTTTTACCATCAGCATATTATACCTGTACTGTGAAACCTCCAGCAGAGCAAACTGCTGTTTTTAACCATAACACACTTAATAGTTTGCCACCTTGCAAAACCATCTTCTCCAATGAGAATTGACCCATCCAGTACATCTATCCTGGGGAAATATGCTGATGGCATCCCATATTTGTGAGGTGAAGTAGTTGAATCCAGGAGACGTTTCTTAGTAATGGTGCAAGTATTCTGGAATAGCTTCCCATTGGAAGCTAGATTAGCTTGGTCTGCAATAGCTTTCCGTAAGTTAATGAAGATGGAGTTCTTCTACATCAGTGTTTCTCAACCGTGGCAACTTGAAGATGTGTGGACTTCAACTCCCAGAATTCCCTAGTCAGTTTGCTGGCTGGGAAATTCTGGGAGTTGAAGT